TCCACCCCTTTTGCTTCGCTTCGTTCGCGGCAGCCTGTCTTTCCATTCGGCTGGAAATCAATCGACGCTGTCGCTCGAGGATTAGATCGACTTGCTCCGATGTCGATGGTAATTGAACGGGGATGGGTAATTTGCGGTGAACTCGTAGCAATAAGTGCGGTAAGTTGAATCACGTGACTGTAAGTATCGGTTATTATTGAGCGTATTCGTGATTATAAGTGAATCAAGATGATCTTGGTTAGACCACCGAGCAAGTTGGCAAGTAAAATTCTCGAAAGGATAATGGTCATACCGGAACCATACCTTTACTTAAATCGTTCTTGTTGAAGACGACTCCTTTGATTAAACGTCTACAGTAACTGTTAGTCGTGATTGACTTTATCGTTACAGGTAAACTTTAAAACGTTCTAATGGTTTCTGTAAGAAGTTTAGAAACGGCAGGGGTCAAAGATCTTGTTTGAATTATTGTAAAATAGATTTAGAAACGGATACGGGGTGATAAAAATTCTAAATTAGCTAGATATCGAGTTATTTTGTGTCGTAAATGACAGGGCATTGATAGATACTAAGCATTTCGTTCCTTTCTTATCCTTTCTCCCTTTCCCTTTAATCCTCTCTTTTTTCTTATTTCCTTCATCTCATTATTCATTCTATTTGTTTCAATCTTTCTCTTCATCCCTACCATGCTTGTCATTACTACACCATCTTTGTGGAATCATTCTTCCTTTTCCATATACAACGCTAATCTTCAATCAATTTTTCAATTTAATTCATTTAATAATTAACCGATATAGAACCAAAATATTGACAAATTTATTCACGTCAACATATGACGGTAGTAAAATTGCCCTCGCGAAATTCTACGTTGCAGTATTCAGGGATTAAACAGTATCTGGTGATTCGTGCTACATGAAATCACGGCGAAGCTTCGTGAATGAGTCTCGAGAAGAAAAGATTGACTGGCAACGTCATAATCCTCGGTGATTCCGTTCCACTAGCGCGAGACAAGCGAGACGCGTCCACATCGCGGCGGGAAACAGCGGCGCGAGTTGAACAAGGAAAGAGAGAAGCGCGGACGCGAAAGATAACGGCTCGCAGCCAATCGATCGATTCGCGGAGGCTTTTGTTCGTCTACGGTCCTGCTATCCGATTTAACTACGACAGCCCGGAATCGAGCCGCCACCGTAAGAACCGACTTTATCTCTCGTCCCCTCCGCGGCCAAGGGATGCTGCGAAAATATTGCTCAATTGTATCCTTACTCCCGCTTGTTTACCAACTCCCCTTTCGTTAACAAAGATCTGCCTTCATTCTGTAAATGTTATCAATTCTTTCACATGAAATTCGTATGAAACTTGAAACAAAAATTTATCATTTAAAATCCAATTTTTCTACGTTTCGTACGATGGGAGGTTTACCACGTTTACCTCGATCGATCACTCAGTTAACAGATTCCAATCGAAACACCCCTTTCGTCGATTCTTATTTCACGGTTGTACAAGGCAGGACAGTCTCGTTAACACGTTCATTGGTTAACGCGAATTTTATATATTTCGCCCTGCGAGTCGTAATAGACAGAGATATAGTTCGCTATAACGTTTAATTTTATCAAAATATTATATCGTATTTGCGTTGTCCTTTTTCTTTGACGATATTATTATTACCGTGATAGTCAACGCGTCAAACTGACGGGACCAATTAATGGGAGCAACGTCTCTGATTCTGCGAAACGTCTCGCAAGAACGAAGGACACTCGTGGGCACAGAACATCATTTTCGGGCAAGTATTTCGGTCGGAGGCGAGTCTATAAATACAGGCAGAGCTTGTACACGCGCAATGGTGACCCTCGTCGTATTCGCAGACACGGGAACGACAGCTATTGAGCTATTACACGCTTAAGTGGAGCAGGCTGACTGCAGTGGCGTGCCTTGCTGCTTCCGATGCGTGCGACTCGACGACCTCAAACTGCTAATCCGTACACGAATCCCGAGGATCGGAGTACAAGCGTTGCCGGAGCTGCACGCCTCGTGTACCGGAAGCTACCGAAGGCGGGGACAAAGGGAATAGGCGGTTGACCGTGGATAATTGGTAACTCTAGTCCGAGCGACTTCCTAACCCGCCGGCGTGTCTTTTCACGGTAATTTCTCGCGGCTGATAACGAGCCGGCCGGGAGGATTTAAGCGGAAACGCGCCGCCACAAAGACTCAGAACTTAGGTGACTTTCTTTGATTTTAGCTAAGTACGAAAAGGAAATTTCTGTGGCTTCTTTTATGGCTCTTTTGAATAAATTTAAACCTGCATTAATATCAAATAAAGTTAATGATAAGGTAAAAGCATCGAGAAACGAAGAAACTAAATTTTTGATATTGTCGATCAGTTGACAGATTTTTGACGTTCTTTGACGAGACAAGATTCAAAATTGCGGGTCAATCGCTATAGATCATTTTTATCGTTTCTAGTAACGTTTCATAATAATTACGATAAGCGTTGAAACTTAGTAACGTAATAAACGTATTTCCCTCGTAGCACTCTTTACGTTTCGATGCTGTTAGAAACTGTTACGAAAAATTGTGGAAGCGAACTATAACAAATAACCTGTAATTTTTAATTTTCTATGTGTCGAAATTTAGAGATGTCATTCCTTTATGTCTAAATTTCGACGATTAATACCATTAAACTCGTTGTTGGCAATGGTTCATAACGAACAGTCCGCAGTTCGATACTTTATCTTGCGTCACCTTCGTATCGTTCTATATAAACAAATTTGATTCAGATCAATGGAGAAAACAGTCTCCTTGTAGCACCTCTGTTCCCCAAGTTCAAAGCGTCGATCAATCGTTAATTCGCGACGCTAATGAGCCAGGCAGCCCGGAAGTACGCGGGTCCGGGGGCACTAAGAGTCCCGAGACAGATCGTTAATTAGCGCCCCCTGTCTATATCCGTGTTCTCGGCTGCGAGGTTAAACGTCCTCGAGAAAGAATCGCCAGGATACACGGGAGAATAGGTATCCGACGACGAGGTTACGCCACTGTGTCGGGGCTACGGAACGTGGGGTGCGCGAGTGTCGCGCGGGGGTTGGTTATTTCACGGTCCACTCGCTCCACTCACACCCCTTACAGGCGGCGGCAGCGGTGGCAGCCCCTTTCCAAATCCACCCCTAAGAATTAATTC